ATTGCAGTTGGAAGGACAGAATAATGAAATTTATTTAAATCACTATGCCATACAGAATATTTTACCAATGATTGTGTGTGGGGGTGAGCAGGTGTAGGTGGGAGTGGGGAATGTGAACATATTAATTATTGATATCAGTGTAAAACTGCCACATGGGACATGCAAGCACTCTACCATTAACAGTACCTTTGATGGGGTCAGAGGACACGAACAAGCAAGGGATCCACCCTATTGTCATGCTGCTGCTTTCATCCTCAGATTCTTCAGATAGCCACAATAACAAAGGATCAATTCCAGGTGGCAATGTCACACTTTCCACCTCCTCATCTTTCTCAACTGGTTTTGTTGTGTCCAACCAATTTTTTATTGCAACTAAAACTGGGCTTGAAGACCCCCATGGAACAAACTGTTTGCAGGGCCAAAGACAGAGTGCCAGCTGTTCATTCCCGTTATTTTAGCCATCAGGACATGGAGATTTGAATAGTTTCCTACAAAAGAGTAACTCCTTTGATAACAGAAAGAACTCTTGGAAGCAGGGCTTGTCTTCTCACAACAAAGTCGCCTCTGTTAAATCTTGACAGTAGATTACATTTTTGCAACTTCATTTATGGAAATTCCCCCTATGAAATTGCTTTCTTGAAAAGAAAAAAAAAAATCAAAGAAAGAACTCTTTTACATTTGTAATCTTAATTCACTATTATGCAGGAAAAAAAAAAAAACAGCCAATTTAACCTAACACATTAGTATACAAGCTAAATATTTTCTAGTTGATCTCAAGCCAAAGAAAACAAAAAGATGAATCTATTTCTGATCAGGCAACATCAGCAATTACTTCAAAAAACTTAATATATCTATGATCTAGTGTGTTAATGCTAAATAGAAATTACTTGGATCAATTTTCTAAACAAAATTGCAAATATAGTATATTTGGTAATTGGAATGCATAAGCAACCTAGCTGACATCAGTTTGTAATATAAAATAACAACACTAGGAATGTCATAGGTTTGACTAACTATATGGTAATCAGCTTGAGGAAAACAAAAAATCTGCAAATAATTACAACAGAATTAATGAACAGAAGCACTTAAGTTAATGTACCTGATTATCATGAAAAGCTCGCAACTTCAATTTTCTGACGTTTCAAACCGACATCTCCACGTATTACAGGCATTGACTAATGAAAATTCCCTTGCTTCTGCTTTCTCAAAGTAAAGATTACCCAATCTCCACTTGTTTGACTCTAGACTGGGAACTCCAAGAAACTATCATCAGCTACAGTAACCTCTGCTTAAATTTGTCATGATTTTGATGAATGCTTAGTGATTCAACTTTGATCCTGTCATCCACATGGTGGCTCTCTGGCAGGAAATGTGGGAAGCTCATTAATAAGTTCTTGACGTCTTTCATCCTTCAAGTTTGAGAGTAACTTTAAGACACTGTACAGGGTCGTTGTATCAGGTGACATATTTTTCTGTTTCATTTTTAAAAGAAACTCCACAACTTTGGACGTCTCATTCTTTTAGCAGAAAAAGGAAATGAATATATTAAAGGTCACCACATCTGGAAAACAACCACTCTCCTCCGGCCATCTCTTTTAATAAATTACTAGCCTTCTCCAATTGCCCATTTTTACACAGCCCATCGATCATGGTATTATAAATAATGGTGTTAGGAAGTTATCCTCGCTGAATCATTAAATCAAACAGCGCACTTGCTTCCTCCATCCTCCCTTCCTTGCAAAATGCATTCACCAATGTACCATAAGTGACTGTATCGAGGTGCTGACCTCTCTCAGTCATAAAATTTAGTAATCTGTTTGCTTCCTCCATCCTCCCTTCCTTGCAAAGTGCATCAATCAATGTGTTATAAGTTACTATATTAGGGTGCTGACAGTCTTCGAATAATGAAGTATAGCAATCCATCTGCTTCTTCTAGTCTTTCGTGTTTACAAAGTGCATTAATCAATATGTTATACGTCACTATATCAGGATGCTCATTTCTCTGAATCATCAAGTGTAGTACTTTATTTGCTTTATCTAACCTCCCATCCTTGCAAAGTGCATCTATCAGTGTGCCATAAGTAACAACGTCAGGATGCTTACCTCTCGGAATCATCAAACCTATTACTCTATTTGCCTCATCCATCCTCCTTTCTTTGAAAAATGCATTCAATAATTTACTATAAGTGATGGCATTGGGGTGCTGACCTCTCTTAATCATCAAATCTAACAATCTATTTGCTTCCTCCATCCTCCCTTCTTTGCAAAGGGCATCAATCAATGTGTTATAAGTCACTATATCAGGGTGCTGACCTCTTTGAATCATCAAGTCTAACAATCCATATACTTTTTCTATGCTCCCTTGTTTACAAAGTGCACCAATAAATGTGGTATAAGTTATCGTGTCAGGATACTGACCTTTCTGGATCATCAAGTCTAATAATTCACTTGCTTCTTGCAACGTTTGTCGTTCGCAAAATGCATCCATCAAAACATTGAATGCCACCACGTTAGCTTGCACTCCTTCATCCTCCATCTCTCTGAATAAACCTTTTGCCTTCTCCAAATTACCCATTAAACAGAAACTGTGAAGTAGAGAGGTGTGAACAACGACATCAGGAGAAATTCCTCTATCTTTCACTCAGGAAAAAAGTTGTTTTGCCTTTTCAACCTTCCCATACTTGCGAAGGCCATCAGTAAGTAGTAAGGGAAAATAAAGGTTAATGCCACTTTTACTCTTATTTTGTTGTAGTATTAATATGTGAAAATATGTAAATAACTCTACAAAGAGAAAGTCTAGAGAATTTAGAGGAAAAAATTTTCCCCCAACCAAACACCCCCTAAAGGTTTTAATGGAGATAAAGTGAGTAGTACATCAGACTATGAAAGAAAATAACTCATTAATTTTCCTAAAATTTAAGGTTTTATTCCCTATCAAAAAATTAAAAAATTTTGGATATTCTTTGCTAAACTCTTAAAAATTCGCAGACTTTTCTTGCCATTAACTCTTACCTTTTGTACCCAAAAAATGCTAAAGAATAAAGAGAATTCCCTTTTGGCAAGAGTAATAAAATACTATATCTACGTAAAGAGGCAAAGGAACGAATTGATGCAAATAATTGGATTCAGTAGATACAAATTGATGAAGGCATTAAGTGCTACCAGAAA